TTTGCGTTCTGTTAGGACAAATGCTCGTTTGGATAGCGTCATGATGCTTGGAATACATCGCGATAGGGGAAGCAACCTCGACCTTGACATCGTAGTTGACAGATTTCGTGTAAAATTTCCATAATGTAAAATTCCACTTAAAAAAAGAGGATTTGTAAGGAAATTAGGGCCCGTTTATACAACACACCAATATCCGCATTCTCAGCCCGCCAAAGTTATGTGTGTAGTATAAACGCCGTCGGATTGCGTGTAATTACATTACCATCTGGCAAAGAGGCTACTTGACGAACCTGTCTCTTATACACATCGGCCAAATTTGGCCGGTTCGCGACCTTGCGAAGCCTACTTGGCACCCTCAGGCTATTGTTTGACCTCTCGTAAACACAGCGAGCGGTAATTAATCAACTGGATGGGGTGGCTCTAACAAGACAGTTTATTCGCTGCATTTTCAAGCGTTGCTGGATAGATTCCGAGAAATCAATAACTGATAAAAATGCTTACTGGTATCGCGGGGCGTTTGAAATTATTACATAATAGATTATGATTATTTCTTTGTAATTACCGCTCTCTCAGAATGCACGGCGAAAACAAGCGCAGATTGTCATTCTTTGCTTTTATTTTGACAAGCTCGGACGTGTGTAGGCCTACAAATTATTATGAACTGGACCGACGGTGCGACCCGTGCCTTAATAAATATTTGGGGGGAGGAGAACATCCAACAGGGGCTAGATGGAACTCGGCGAAATGCGTCCATATACGCAGAAATAGCCAAAAAATTAAAGGATATATATAAATATAAAAGACAATCGATTAACAACAGTAAACTATCCACTCCTTCAAAACAAACCGCGCGAATTGAGCGGAAGTACGATCTGACCCTGTATCCCAGAACACATTGCGCTATATGATACCTGTCTCTTATACACATCTAGTGTAATGGTGTGTTGTATAAACGCCGACGTTTGGAGGATCGTCTCGGCTAGCGTAAACACATTCAAGGACGTGAATCCGTGTTCGTATTTAGTGTGTAGTATAAACACAGCCTTAGATGGTTGCATTGCAAACTCTTTGTTTCTTGTTTTATTCAAAATGTTTTGGTTTTTGAAGCTGAAAAACATAGCCTACATGAAGTCATATTATAGTAGCTCGATGCCTATCAAATAAGTAATAAAAAATTCGTGGCTGCCTGGAACCCCACCGCAGTGGCATAAGCAAGAATTTAGTCCAATGAAACTTGTTTATCATCTTGATACCTTCCGACGAAAATATCACTGAAAAAATAGATAAAACGACAGTTGAATGACCAACAAAGACAACTGAAGACAATAGGTTGTCATTAGAAGTTATTTAGTATAACTTTATTCGGAAAATTAATCCCAAAATCGAAT